GTATCCAATGCAAGGACGAATGGTAGATTTGTAGATTTGAAGGGGGTGGACTCAGACGAGAAAAACCTTCTGGCGCGACAAAGAGGACCGACTTTCCTTGCAGTAGATGAAGTTTTGCTTTTGTTCGGGGGTTCATTATTTGCCTATAACTGTGAGCCTAGCAGTTTCTACCACTCCCGGGTCTGGGTGAACATGGGGATAACAGCCAATAAGCGGTGGTTCGGCACTCATCAAAAACCTCCAATTTCCTGATTAGAGGCCTTGCTGCCGGATACAGTTTATCGTCATACCCAGGAGCATCTAGAAGAAGCAAACTGATATATAACCATCGTTTTTGACTTCATGAGAATGCCTAAAAATATAACGAAATACCGAATCGTCCGTCACGCGTGTTACCAAGATACGCGTTCTTCTCTAACACTCCATAAATTTCCTTAAAAGGAAACGACTAATATTGACGTCAATATTATCATTACAGAGACAGTAAGCAAGATGGTGGTTCTCAAACAGACGGATGGTTTCCAAGAAACATTACCATGGATGCTAGTCTGTTTCAGCTTGTGCCTTTGATTGTTACTGAGTTCTAAATCATTTTCATGAGAGATGTTTCAAATTGACTACACGCTGTAGGTCAGTGTGGTTTGCTATCTTCAGTAATTTTGCCCTAGAATGTTATTGACAGATTCTTAACATCGCTGTTCAGTGTTCATACTCTAGTTGTTTGTCCAATATCTTATATTCTTCCATTTGGCGTTGACGAGGAAACCATATTTAGTGTCTGACTCCAAAGACATTAAGTGCGTTTTGGTTAATCTCAATTTTAACAGACTGTCTTAATTTTAAGGATGAGGATTTAATATTATTTACATTATTTACATTCGAACTAATGTCCTGATCTTTATTGCCATTATCACAATGCTTCGGTAGTTGTACCCACCGACTTTCTTCAGGTATCAGTCGATCAGTGTTAACCTTCATAAAATTTTTAACTTAAACCCTTCATTTAATCTAAGGAATATTAATATCAATTCCGTCTTTGACTGGTTTCTTGGCGACAACATACGAAGTCTGATCAAAAAATATCGGTAGAAAATTTCAGCACATGTCAATTCGGCATATAATTTCCTTCGAAATAGTTCCCTTCTGATGACATACACTTTACCAAGCTGCGATTCCATTGATTGAAGAATTCCTGGAAATACTTTTTTAAAAGATAACGACCAGCATCCTCGGCAGGATGTCTTGAAACCGTGTTCCTTTCAAGTGGGATTTGATTTTTGAAGAAGAAAAATCGCAAGGGTCCCAACTGGGGAATATGGGGTTGTCAAACCTGGAGAATATTTTGCTTTGCCAGAAATTGCTGCACAAGCCATGATCACTTCTGTGATGTGGTGAGACCGGACCATAAGTGGCAGCAACACCCAAGGCATGGACGAATGATAAATATGTAAGATAGATTCTGGATATAAACATTGTTTAACACGACACAGTATACTAACGTTCTTAGAAGCAGACCTAGCAAAGGATTCAATAATTATTTTTTAGCGGATTGTTGACCTTTGATAGGTTTTGATCTATCTAAACTTTATGAGATTTTTCTCTGAATTTTTGGGATGAGGATTTATCCTCGATTTACCTTATGTTTTTTTAATCATTCCCCCCTCCAATTAAGGCGATAATTCCACTAAGACGCAGTAGATTCCTGGGAGTGAAAGTAAATTGGAAGACTTTAGTGAGGAGAAATGAGGATAAAGAACAATAAAAAAACAGGGATTAAGGAAAATGGCGATTAGCAATGCATTTAAATTTTTGAAGCTGACATTGTATTGTAGAGTGACCGAAAAAAAATTTCTTCCTCCGTATGAGAACGAATCACTCGTCGCCAATGTTTTGTAGAGTAGTTTCACAGTGGAGGCTTGTATTTCACTAAGTCGGTTCTAAAAAAGGTTCGACGTACAAAACGTTAGGAACTTGAAATAATAGTTAATGACGCAGCAATCTAGTTGTGGTGGTTGATACTTTAATGTCCGACATCGACTGACAGACTAACTCACTGAGCCCCCTGGCGACTGCTACTACTACTACTTATTATATGTGGGAGAATCTATTAACAATAGAATAGGTATGTTCCGGTATAACACATTGGAAGCAAGAAGGGTTCAGTTCGAAATTCCCTGAAGGTTACCCGAATCGCAGACAGACAGAAAGTCCGAGGGAACAATGGCATTGGAAGCAAGAAATCTGAAGGGAGTTTCACAGGCAAGAAGTGCAAGAATAGAGGCTATTAGAATAGAACATACGTATATTACTAATTCAAAAGCAAAACAGTGGGACCTAAATGCCAATCTAGTCAACCTCTTAAATTCCTGCAGCCGATAAACTAAGGAGGGAAGCTCATTAAATCGATTGCCTTGAAAATATTTGTAGAAACGACAGAAGGAAAAGATGTCACGTCGGTGAGAAAGTGATCGAACTCGACATGACAGGTCAGGATCGATTACATTACAGACCCTTCTTTGAATCTGACATCTCTATTCAATGCACACAAGGATGGTAGATTTATAAATGTATAAGATGGATTCTGACGAGATAAATCTATGTTGATTGCTCTTATCACAATAATTCGGCCGTTGTTTCCTCGGACCTTCCGTCTGTCTACGATTTTCTTAGACAATACCCTGCGCATTTAAAAGCACAGATATAAAAATATGGATACCAATCATTTATCACTGTCCATACCATAAAAGAATCTACTAAAATAAAATACTGATCAATCTTTCACCCCGAGGTCAATATAGTGATAATTAGGGGTTCTATGCTGATAACATATGTATTCATAGATAAGACAAGAGTGATCTTGAACCGAAAATCAACCAAATGTTCTATTCTGAACCTTACATTTGAATTATGATTAATAGTATTGTCGCCTTCCACACATATTCTACATTATTATAATATACTATAATTACATATTTTTATTTACTAATGTTCTTCCTATACAAGGCCCAAGAACCTGTCAAGGTAGGGGGTTAATCAAGGATTTTGTTGTGTAAGAAGTAATAGGCGCGGTTTATGATATGTGGTAACGGTTAACCCAAGACTTGAATGAAAGGTAGTTTATCTGCCCTAGGACAGATACTACACTCTGATCCAAACCAAAAGGGCCGAGAAGCGATTGCATTTTGTTTCTGTTCCACACTAGCACGATCTGTGAGAAAGTCACTTTTATGTGGGGAGCCCGAGCGCGTGCACCCAGGCCAGGTCGAAAAATAGCACAGCCCAAGGAATTATCGGTTGTTTTAGCATCGGTATAACTACCGATACCCACTCTTTAGTGAAATGAGGGTGGTATTGCCCCGGGCAGCTCTCACCACTCAATGATATATTCAGTTGCGTTTCTGTCCGAAGATAGAGACACAACTGAGAGATGAAATGTAGTTTATCTGTCCTAGGACAGATACTACACTCTGATTCAAACCAAAAGAGCCGAGAAGCGATTTTGTTTCTATCTCATGCTAGCACGATCTGTGAGAAAGTCAGTTTTATGTAGGGAGCCCGAGCGCGTACACCCGGGCCAGGTTGAAAAATAGCACAGCCCCAGAAACTATCGGTTGTTTTGGCAGCGGTATAACTACCGATGCCCAATCTTTAGTGAAATGAGGGTGGTATTGAGGACACAGACGCAACTGAGAGATGAAATGTAGTTCATCCGCGCGAAGGCAGATACTACATTTTTATCCCCACCGAAAAGCCAAGAACTAAAGACGACCGCGATATTTCGCCATTTTTGCTTAGTATCGAGCGATGGAAACGGAGTAATCGCCAAAAATCCACTTACCATAAATAAAATAAGATCGTCTGCTGAAATATTTTAAAATTATTATTAGGAGAAATTTTCATAAGACGGTGATTTGACTAGTAATTATTATTATTTTATACTTCTGCTCTTATATAAAAACGACCTTAACATTCTGTGAAATCTAATACAGCAATCAGCTTTCGTTTAGTTTCTCGTTTTCGATTCGTATTTATTTTATTTGTGTTTTTTTCTTTCTTATTTTGAGATTTTATTATTTGAAAGAACGCAGCTAAATGAAGATAGATTTGAGTGATACAACGATTTAGGAAAAGAACTTGTTACGTACGTTCGTCTCCGTCAATCCCCGCGCCGACCAATTTTCTAAACTATAGAGATACACCACCAACGTCCTCTTTGTCCAAATGCGTTTTGCATAAAAAGAGAAGACTGGCTTCTTCTACTTCTTCTACTGCTACCTCTCCTTCTTCTTCTTCTCCTCCTCCTTTATCTTCTTCTTCTAATTCTTCTTCTTCTTCTCCTCCTCCTTTATCATCTTCTTCTTCTTCTACTATTACTACTACTTCTTCTTCTTCTTCTTCTTCCTCTCCTTCTTCTTCTCCTCCTCCTTTATCTTCTTCTTCTTCTACTACTACTACTACTTCTTCTTCTTGTTCTTCTTGTTCTTCTTCTCCTTCTTCTTCTCCTCCTCCTTTATCTTCTTCTTCTTCTTCTTCTTCTAATTCTTCTTCTTCTTCTCCTCCTCCTCCTCCTCTTCTTCTTCTTCTTCTTCTTCTTCTTCTTCTTCTTCTTCTTCTCCTCCTCCTCCTCCTTCTTCTTCTTCTTCTTCTTCTTCTTCTTCTTCTCCTTCTTCTTCTTCTTCTTCTTCTTCTTCTTCTTCTTCTTCTTCTTCTTCTTCTTCTTTCTACGTGTATTTTAAACTACTCACCATGCTTATTAAGTTTGCATGTGTCTCCGAGTTAAGAGTGAATGATTTGCTATCTCTTTCTTTTTTGCGCGCCACCGAACGCCGCTTCCCCGCGGCCAAGTCTTTCTCATTTTATTACACATTCTCTAATGGTGGGTATTAGCATCTTGTCTTGTGATTATCGGACGGAAAACAAAGCCTTTCAGATGTTTTATAAGTCGTTGTAATCCGACAGATTTCGTTGAGTGCTTTCATTATTACGATATTGAAGGAATATTAGTTGGAAAGGCAGACAGACAAACAGATACATAGACATTTATAACCTATACAAATTGAAATAAATTGATGGATGTGAACAGATTGAGAGAGATAGATAGATAGATAGATAGATAGATAGATAGATAGATAGATAGATAGATAGGCAAGCAGGCAGAGAAGCAGGCATGAACAGATTAAGAGAGAGAAAGCAACTGATTGAATGAGGTTACGGGCTGATAGATAGATAGATAGATAGATAGATAGATAGATAGATAGATAGAAAACGAACTGCTGATAGATAGATAGATAGATAGATAGATAGATAGATAGATAGATAGATGAGGTTCTATATATCAAAACAATGCTAGGTAATTGAATAACAAAATGAAACAAAAACTGTAACGCCTTTCGACCTTTGAAAGGACTTCAGATATAATTTTTCATTTTTGTCATCCAGTTAACAAATATAGAGAGATCATCAGAATATGATATATAACTAGGTATTTCCCCTCACTAAAAGCGATATATAAGTTTTAAAATGCATTATAAAAATGAAAAAAAAAATGTCTTGAAGCTTTTATTTTAGTTTTATAACCAAGTTAATAGATAAAATTTAATATTTCCACTAAGCAAAATACTTTGCTGTATTTCAAACCGAATTTAAAATTCACTGTCAGTAAAATCACTAAAATCGGCCATATTGATAAATATGTCAACACAGCATAATTCTCTTTATTAAAAAATCTTTTAAAAATAAAATATAATTATCTGAAACTATTATAAAAATCAGCTGATTTAAAGTTTAATTAATGTTCATTCAAACATTTTTAGGATATCGCTAAAAAGTATTTTTAACATGGGAATAGTGACACATAAATACCGACGGAAGTGTAGGAGAATCAAAGAGCCTTAGTCTGAGAGCTAATTCTATAACGACGCCCATTGGACTACGCCATTGATCTATACTTCTTACCTGCGACTACGACGCGTACCAGTCGATTACTGCTACCGTATTCTACTTGGTTATAGTAGCCAAAACCACTTAGCTACTTCGTTCAAATATATCCCTTTCCGGGACATATCAATAACGATTGACATTGCATTTAAATTTTTAAATTCCTTGTAATTTCAGTTCCATTTTGAAGGATTCTGCTTGAGTTATACAACATTCGGAATTATGAAACGAATTGAAATGAATTTGAAATTTGAATGGCAACTGAAATCTTTACTGTATCTTTTGTAAATTTTGGTAAAAAAAAAAAAGAAAAAACATTGTTTCAGGTCTCTTAGGATATATTAGGAAACAAGCTCACTCCCGATCCCAAAATGCCAAGAAAAAGAGAGAAAAATAAAAAAAAAGAAGAAATTACCATTTCGAAACTATAAATATCCTTACTGGTCACACATAAAGTATGATGAAAATAAGGCAGGATATTTTCAAAAGTATCTGGTACTTTTAATTTGTTTATTTATATACATTTGTTAATCGGTATCACTCTAAGCAATGCAATAAAGCCACTAAGACACAAGGCGTTACAGTCTGTGGAAGAATCAGGAACAGAAACATTAATGATAAGCTGAAAGAGAAGACATTAATCAGGAGGATAGTACATAGCGATAGATTTTGCATTAAAATTTTTGCAAATTAAAGTTGGCTGAAAAGCATGTAACCAGAAGAGAGTTCCACAAACGCGAAGTGCGAGAAAATAAACCTTTAGCATAGAATTTACGGTTACAACTAGCCATTTCTACTGTAATATGATGAGACCTATCCGCCAATCTAGTAGTGCGCTTTAATTCATAAAGTCTAGGTACCATAGAGGGAAATTTATAAAAAAAAACAATTATGATTAAAGTATTTTTAGAAAAGGCGAAAGGAAGCTACGTTACGTCGATTGGAAAAGGATTGAAGCAGAGATGTCAGGACAGGACGAATAACATTGCAGATTCTCTTTTGGATCTTATTAAGCATCTTTAAATATATAGAAGGTGCACCAGACCAAATGGTGCAGCAATATTCAATTTTTTAACGCGTTTCGTTCTTTGAAAGGACTTCGTCAGATATGATTTTCCCTTTTGTCATTCAAACACAGAAATTGAGAGATAAATAATGATATATATGCTTTTATATATCTTGCACAACAACGATTCAACTGCTACTATATCATTTCCTTTTATGTACCGTGTCCCTTCAGGACGTTGGCGATCATGGCTCCCCACTTCCCCCTATCCCTTGTAGCTCTCAATAAATTTCGTCCCTCTGTCACCTACCCCAGAACACGTTCTGTCATCCACTTGCTTAAGCCTGCCATGTATGTCATGCATTGTTTTCCCTTGTCTCTCTTTCCCTCTATTAGACCTATGAGTATCAGATTCTCCAGGCCCTCCTTTCTCATTACGTGTCCCAGAAATTTCAAATGCCTCTTCCTGCTACCATGTATGTATGCGTATGTGCATGAAAGCGTGCGTGTCAGATCGTGAGTGTATTTCAAATGATGTATATATCAAGACAGTGTCCATATTACACAATGCCATGTTATCCCCGTGACACTGATGAGAACGATAGAAACTTTATTTTCTCATTGTCGTCTGTTGTCTTTCAAATGTTCCTTTTTTTATCTGACTATTTTCTTTTTTCCATTTCTTTAATCATTTTTCTTCTTCTTAAATCTCTTTCCTCGTTATTCTTCGTGTCTTTTCTTCTTTTACTTATCTTCGCATTTCCTTCCGCCATCTTTTCTCTTTCTGTCCATATTATCTCCCTTGTCCGCTTTTATCATTCAGTCGACTCTGCAAAGATTCACTGTCTTCGATAAGCGCCTCTTCTTTAAACAATTGCACTTTTACACAAGCCTACACGCTCTGCCTCTTCCCCTATAAAACCTCCCACTCCAGCCTCTTCTCTAATGCTCGCTTTTATGGGCTCTCACTTTCCCTCAGTCGCTGTACCTCTAATATATAAGCATGATTTTCTCTCTCTCTCTCTATTTCTCTCTCTCTCTCGCTGTTTCAGTTTTTTTGTCTCGTCATATATCCAGTCCTGGGTATGACGATAAACTATATCCGGCAGCAAGGCCTCTGATCAGGAGGCTTTGAGGAGCGTGGAACCACCTCTTAATTGCTGGTGTTCCCAGGTCTACCCTGACCCGGGGTGGTACTACCTATTAGTGTCCCGGCTATGGGCCAATAGTTTACCACCAAACTGTGGTTAAAACACTATGAAAATGTAAAAATAGATTTTAATACCAGCAATACATTTTAAAAAAATATTACCAGCAATATATTTAAAAATATACCAGCAATAAAAATTTTGTCGGCTTTAATTAAGCCTTTGAGGTTGATATGCCGTAAAACAAATCAAACCAAATCAAACTAAACTAAACCAAGCGTCATATATATATATATATATATATATATATATATATATATAGAGAGAGAGAGAGAGAGAGAGAGAGAAAAGAGAGAGAGAGCAATGGATAAAATTTTCGTCTAAATTACCCAAAAATAAAAATAGCACTGGCATCTCAATTTTAACAGATATAATTACACAAAATATCTTGAAATAGGAAAGTAAATTTATTAAAAAATCGCCATGGACTTCAACAACGGCCTCCAGACGACTTTGGAATCTTCTGCAATTCTTCTGGGCGGGTTTTCTTGTTTAAGTTGTTCAATGCTGCCATAATCCTTGCCTTCATTTCATCTTTGGTGTTACAAAGAGTTTTGTTGGTCTCTCACACAACTGCGCCCCACACATAATAATCAAGGGGGCTGCAGTCTGGGGAGTTAGATGGTCAGGTATAAGGATGGATATGATCGCAGAAAATGTCTGACTGCTATGACTGGGTTCTCCTGCTTTTGTGGCATGATGCAGAATCCTATTGCCAGACATAGATCCTTCCAGCAGCCACCCTGTTGATCCAGAGTAGCACTACCTCCTCAAGGCCCTGAGGGAAGATGAATGGAAACATTTCTCTATCGCGTGATAAATCCAAACACCATAATGTTGAGTAGATATATCATCTAACTCTTTCCGAATCCTTTGAACTGTCTTGTCGGGCGGCACTTTTAGAAAGTGTCGGAAATCCATTCCAGGGTTTGAACCAAGCCGTGTGACTGAACTTGGGTTGACGGATCTATTTGTCAGCTGTCGATGGCTGGTGCTAACACGAATTTACAAGTCATCGTGACCGAGTGCTTGAGCGTGCTGGCCTCGTTCAGACTGTTGATCATGTTAGATAACGCGCTCCCTCCCAGAAACTGTAACTAAGGTCTGCTAAGCATAGTTGCAGTGGGCTCTGAGGGGGGGGCGGTTGAAGTAACACTGCAAAAGAGATTGGCTACCCTACCTAGTGGATATAGAACGATCATTTATTATTATTATTATTATTATTATTATTATTATTATTATTATTATTATTATTATTATCCGGGGCCAATTAAAGAGCGAAGCAGCTATTAATCTGTGACAATCGAAGAACAAATTATTAGGAATACGTACATAAGCGCCTGTCCCACACGCACACACATTCGTGGATGTGAATTGATATGTGTAGCTAGAGCTAAGACAGAATATGTGGTAAAAGGACATGGGGAGTTATTTGCGAAATGGCTATTAATCCAAGACTATAGAAGAACGAGATTAGGAAGCATACTTATGTAGCGACCACACACCACACACGAACAAACATTCATGAATGTGAACGGCTGTGTGTCCTAATGGATAAGACGGAATATGTGGTAAAAGGACATGGGGAGTGATAGATGAAGTGGCTATTAATCCGGGATTATAGAGGAGGAATTAATCCATAACTACCAAGTTATGAATTAAGAGAAATACATACATAGAGCTCCCCACCACCCCGCACACACACGTAAAAGAACGTGGGGTGGGAAACGGCTATTAATCCGTCACACATTCGTGTATGGGAATGGCTGTGCGTATCTGTGGCTAAGACAGAATACGTGGTAAAAGGATATGGGGAGGGATAGGAACGAAACGGCTATTAAATTGGCTACAGACAGAGAGAAAGAAAAGATGTTAATTCCAGATGCAAGCAATTAACGAATCGAGATGCCATAGTTTGCAGAAAGTAAGTGAGATCTTATCAAGCGCCATTTCCGTCGATAAGCCACATTAAGGCAAGGAACATCGCCACTCCAAGTCGAGATAAAAAAAAAGAAAGAAGGCTACGGCTTCTCATTTTGGGCTATTGGTTTGTTCTGTAGTCCTTCAGCCGAGTAATCTTCGACGCCCCCACATGAACGTCTGTCAAAAGTAAATAAAAATAAACCAAAAGAAATAACACAAACCCAAGCAGATATAATTAAATAAACAAATAAATA